CCGAATTGAGGCAGTAATTAAAGCAAAAGGAGCCCCTACCAAGTATTGAGTACATATACAGTAAATGAACATACTTTCCAGAAGGCCAGCAATTCACTAAAAATGTTTTTTTATAGGTCTTATGAGGTATTCTAATTTATTGAGATAGTGAATTGGTGGGTTTTTGTTAAATGTGAGCAAAATCATCACAATTAAAAGACCCAACGGCTTAAACTACTTCAGTCTGTGTGGACTGAATTTATATAATACATGAGTTTCACTATTTGAGTTGAATTACTGAAATAAATGGACTTTTCCAAGATATTCTAATTGATTGAGCTGCACCTGTACATGTTACACAAAAGATCACCTTGCTGTGTGAAGCAATAGGCTTCTCTTTATCTTTAGGCCTTTCAGACATAATGGACTGTTTTCTGTTGGTTCAACCTTTTAGTTTGGTTTTTTTGTTGGCTGCCAAGATTCATGTTTGAGTCACTGAATGTCCAGTGTGGTTAAAGAGGAGATTTAACGGCAAAGAGCAGTTCATAGAAATGAAACTGAAAACATGAGCGTCCAAGATTTTTCAGAAAAATGTTTCAAACTGATAAGAAATGTTGAAATGCTGAGATGCTCTCAAATGTGCCGTTTCTCAGGTCAAATAAAGAAAAAAATCATTCCCCCTTGTTCCAGAAACAACTTTATTTGGAACATACTGTTGAAATTAACCATTTTTAGTTACCCATCAACATACTGTGCTCACAGGATCGCACTAATCTAAAAAGCAAGGCTAAAGCAGCAGCTTCCAAATGCTGCATCACAAAATAATATTTCTGTTTTAATAGGCAATAATGAAAGCAAGAGTGCATAAAAATACAGATGAATTCTCTTTTCTGCCTGACAAACAGAGGAGTTACCATAAATAACAATTACTATAAATAGGCCGGGAACACACACGAGTGCGTGAATCTATAAATACTGGTACACTCATTAAACAAAAACTGGCATTTTACATTTCCCACATACAGTAGTGAATGAAGCCCCACTGACTGCACCAGTTTCAGGGCAAGAGCTTCATCTTCCTTTGCCTGGCAGAAAATGCCACATAACGTCAGCATATCTAAACCTCGTGTCTGTCCAGACACGTTCATCGGCTTACTGGCAGCGTTCACAGCTAAGAAGCGGCACTTTGTTAAATTCACAGATCACATGATACAAAACACTAAGTTCACTTTGCCTCAACTTGAAATTGCCAGCACTGATGCTTAAACGTATCAACTGTATGTTACATTAATGTACAGGCTTTCACACCGAGGTTTACGACCACTGCTGCTCAAACAAGATTTAGAAATATTTTTGTAATCCATGAGAGAATCATGAGAGTTAAAGCTGTTTGATAAGACATATTATATATATATATAAAGGGTTTATCAATTGTACTTAATACTGTATGTAAATATGTATTAATAATTTTATATCACTGACTTGACATCAGTAAAGTGTCTGCAGTTAATAAATGTGTTAATACTCTGAGGAAGTAATTTATGCAGACTTCAGAACTTAACAGCAGTGAATTTCTTGCTCATGACTTAACTTTCCTCATTGTGCTGCAATGATGTACAGATGTACTCTAGAGTGTGCCAGCACCCAGCGACATCACCAGCGGGCCTGGTTACAGGTGCAACTGAACAAACAAGTTTAATTTACTGCAATAAACCATCAAGTTTACTTAAACAGTTAATAAGTCAATAATAAGTAGACTTTAGCTGAGATGCTTCCTAGACCTTTTTTTTGAAGAACGTCACTTTAATTGTTCACTAAATATCTTTGTGTTCATATTTGTTGATTTCTTTTTGAAAGCAGGATCTGTTTGGCTGTAAACGATCTCATAGCTGCTGTAAGATGCAGCTAAGTGAATGTCATGCCCACTGAAACAATATTTAAGAGTTTTTAATTCTTTAAGTCGACTTGCAAGTACCCAATTGGGGCAATTTCATCCTCACCTTCATCACCATTTTTGTTTTTAATAGATTTTGGCACAAGCACAGGAAAATAGCATCACCATTCTCTGTCTCACCTACCAAGCTCCGGTTATTTTTTTTATACAGTAAGTGTTCTTTGAAATGATGCAAGTCCCATTTACTACACGGTAAGTGAGATACTGTATGTGTCATTTCTTTGAATACCTTATGCCTGTGGCAGACTGCCACTAACAGTGAAAGCTCATATATACAAAGGTAGTTACTTCATGCAAATACATGAAAAAAATGAAAGAATCAGCAACATAAGAAGAAAATCAAGTTATGCTGGAGTGTACAACAACCACAAGGATGCAAAAGTTGTTACAGATTATAAAGGATTATAATGATGACTTTTGATCTGTACATGATGTCATTAGTGACAGCTTACAGCATAAACCCCTTATGACATAGGCCTTATTAGAAACAGGATAAAACTGTAGCGGCTATAGCAGCAAATAAACAATTTTCATGGCACTTTTACAGTAAATTTAAGTAACAATGTGATTTCCATCCTCTTCTTCCTCTTGTCTCTCAGTGAACACGTTGTTCTCTGTGGAAACCGTCCACACACCATCAAGAAACCTAATCTATCTTCAAACACTCAGCACAGTCCGTCTTGGTTTTCACAATGTGATTGTGGCTGTATTCGTCCTGCAGGGTAAAAAATAAGACCTGTTTTGTCCGTGAAGGTTCAGGTGTGACTTTAATGGATCACCTGCCCTGAAAACATCAGGGTGGCATACAGTTCTTAGCGCTGCACAGGGACACGGTTTCTGGAAATACACCCTTATTAATAAGTCGCACAGACTTTCTTGAAGCAGAGAAAAATGTGACATGAGTATGTACAGTACAGTCGATTCATTCATTCCAAACAGGACTGCATTCTACACTTCCAATCTGGACTTGTGGGCGTGACAGCTTTTTGGGTCTGTCATGACTTTGGTATTAAAGCATCACTGACTGGCTGTTGGTGAACATGAATATGTTGAGTGCAGTTTACTGACGTCACATCACAAGATTTCTTGGTATTGGAGTTCATATCATGTCAGACTTGGACTCCTTGCTGCCGTTTGAGCCACCGGCATGCGTTGCTGATGGTTGGAGTCGTCCATGCTGGTCTGGACTGTGACACAGCACAATATGTTTGAAGTGGGAACGGTGTTTTTGTTCACATTCATGTTTTGTTGACTCGTGCACAGTATATTATGTGGGTAGGTCCAAGAAAAGTTAACAGCAGCGTGATATGGCAGTGTTTATCTGCCGATGTCAGTGTTTGGCCTTGTGCCTCAAAGACTGTCATTAAAGCGGCTATAATCTATGTTTACATCTCTAGCCACAGCTACCTGCCTTTTGAAAAGGTCAGCAGGCACTCAGGAAACAATGTCCCCACACAACAGACTCCATTAAACAACAATTTCAGAATCTTTAATCCTTGACTGACCCCCAGAATCATCTCTCTGGCCTGAAGCAAACCTCAGGCATCACTGAAATTCACCTTTCCATACACACATGTGTCTGGAAACATCATTTTCTGCTCAGACAGCAGCTCGTCTGTGACAGTGAGCTCCTCCAGCTCTGTTGTGAAGTGGTCAGTGCTTTCCACCATGGATGTATCCTTGACGGCGCTGTAGGTGAGGGCCACGCTGTAGGTGGCGGGCTTATCCAAGCCCTTTCGCCCACAGCGGCAAATCTTGCGGAAGGCTGCGCGAAACTTCTGTGACATGGCGTTGTAGATGACCGGGTTGATGGCGCTGTTGAGGTAGATGCAGATCCGGCAAAAAAGTAGGAACCAGTTGTCCAGATAGGCCTGCTCCAGGAAAGAGTTGACAACTACCAGAGTGCGGTACGGCATCCAGAGTGCAGCAAACAGGATGACCACTACTGCCAGCATCTTGGTCACCTGTAGGGGGCAGCAAGGAGAAATGTTACTCTGTGATTTTTAGCCCATTTACATATATTGTCTTAGTCGAATGTAAGGGAGGTCTGGCTATTTGTGGTCCGCTTGGTAAAGGGTCAGTTCACTTAAATAAATTTAAAAAACACATTTTATCAGTTATTTTAATTTGCTGAATGCATGGTCTCATGTGTAATATTTGCAGTTTTTGAAAATATATTGAAAATCTTTGGGGCTTTGAGTGTTGGTTGAACCAAACAGGAGGCTGAAGGTCTGAGTGTGTATTAACACGTGTAAGTAGTAATTTACATCTGTAGTCTAGCTATATAGTGGTGGGTAATCTACTGTATAATGATTGACAATTGAATGGCAATAGTGTTACATTATATTCCCTTGTTGTAAAATAAGTTACTGTTTAAGCCACACTGTGTGACCGACTTGCTTAAGATGGATGTTTGTGCAGTTTAAGGACAGGACAAAGGCATTTTAAACGACACCACTTTGAGTGTCATCTTCTCCAGGCTCACCCACCTGTCTGCGGGAGGTCGCGGTGGAGCTGGAGTGACGGGAGTTTTTGCAGCTGGTGCTCCTATTGATGGTGTGGTTGTTGTGTCCATTCTTCTTCTTGTCTTTGTGGTCGGAGGGCAGCGGGTTCAGGCAGAGGATCCTGGCGATGAGTCCGTACAGAACCGCAGAAAGCAGCAACGGCACCACGAAGAAGACGCCGAAATCAAAAAAGTAAATGGGTAAATAAAACTGCCGGGGCACTTTGTAGCCGCAGGTGATGATGGTGATGTTGTCGTACACCAGCACCTGGATGTCTGACAGGTAGAACCACATCACGCAGTAAATAGAAGTAAAAGCCCAGACAAATAAAATGATCTTTTTTGCTCTGGACAAAGTGCACAGAAACTGAGCTTTAATCGGATGACAGATGGCGATGTATCGCTCTATGGTGAACGCTGTTATAGAGCAAGAGGAGGCGTTGATCCCGAGGTACTGAAAGTAGGTGATGCAGAGGCACCCATAGTGGCCGAACACCCACGATCCAAAGATGCTGTCCGATACTGCCGGCAAACCAGCTGCTATGAGCACCATCAGATCAGCCATAGCCAAACTCACCAGATAACAGTTTGTGGGAGTCCTCATGTGTTTGGTGGTGAGCACCACCAGGATGACCATAACATTGCCAACGATTCCGAAAACACAAATCAGGAGAAGCAGCAAACTACTTATCACTTTGTACTGAATGCTGGTGTCTGTCCAGATGCCTAAAGTGTGGTTCTTTGAAGATGCTGTAATGTTTTCCATTTTAGTGTTTTAGTTAAAATATCCTCGAAAAAATAAACTTCAACTCGCGCTTAATTAGTTCCAAGTAAACCAAACTGGTTTTACGCGCGAAAAAAGCGAGACATCAAGCAACTCTGTAGGTCCGGGAAAAACGTATATCGACTTCAGATAGTTCGAGATTGCCCCCAGGTATATGTGGCACATTAAATCACCATAACATGATAAAACACTGCTCGGACTCTGCCGTAATAGCGCCGTCGCGCTGTGCGTAAAAAGCGACGCGTCGCTGAGTTCTAGTCAGAGCAAACTGTGTCTCTCGGACAGATTGCGTTTTGGTTTTGACCAAGCTCGCTTTACGCATGCGATGGGATTAGCCCATCATTACACTGTCGAAACCAGACCTCCCCCAGACAACTGAACCCTCTGACCAAACACCTACTGAAACCACTTGCTATTGTCTTTCCGTTGTTCTAATTATTTTATTCCTTGCTGCTGAAATCTGTTACAGTGGCGCCTATAAGGCTGATTGCTTGCAGGTGCCTCTTATTCTGTCAGTGCTTATAAATGTTGTCTCTGGAATGTTTGTGTCCATTCTATTCAGAGGCGTCTCTATATTTTTGTACATGAGAAGGTCAGAATATTAGGAACACTTCAGAATATATTGTAGTCCAGTTCAACACTACCTTTAACTATGACCTCAATAATAAACATATATTTGAAGGCAGGTTTGACTCCTGTTGCCCACTTGTTTAAAGCTCAATATATACAGCATAGTTTTTCATATAGGAGCCATTGGAACACAGACACAATATCCCGAATATGTCAACAGAGTAAACTGTTACTGCTTTCCAGCCAACATTCATGCTGCCAAATGTATTAGGTTTTATATCATTTGAACAGCGTTGGAACTTATTATCATCAACTAATGTACAGATATTTTAGTCTAGGTATAAAATGTCCATCACAGAGTCAGTTCTAAATGCCTTTTAGAAAAATTGAGATCAGGTGTTCAGTGCTCCCATAGCAACTCTAAAAATTGCCTCCAAAATACAGGTCTTTATCATAAATAATAACTCAAATTCCATATATACTGTAAGTAAAATATTGCATTCTGCTAGAAAAATACTGGAGACTTTAGACATTTGCCTGGAATCTGCCAACAATGTGCTTATCTTTAACGTATTTTGGCCAATTGCCCAAATTCCTCCAAAATGAATATGAATATGACTTCAGTTCCCTCTGTGGTACAATTGCTCCAGCCCTCATACAGATAATGGAGAGGTTATAGATTGAAGGAAGATGTATTCGAGAGCAGTGGAGATTAATGCGAAATGTTTTATATATGTTTCATGTATGCTGCAACACCTTCTCATCTGACACTGATCTTACTTATACTAGCAGCTGCTTTATTTTGTTTTGTTAATCATGTTTGTTAAAGTTCACTTTCGATTAATCTTTCTTTGAACATGTTCATATGTACTAAAAAAAACCTCCCTGCCATAAAATGCATACAAAGCAACAGTCGATGTCTAAAACTACCGTACTGCTAAAATGTGAGCCTATACTTCACATTTCCTGTCATTTTTAGTCAGTTAAAGTACTAATTAGAGTTTCAACACCTCAGTACTGAGTGATCTGCCAACGCTGCCTGTTGCATTTAATCACTAAACTTCATGTTGTTTCACTTAACAAGATGCTGATGCAATAAATTTTATTGTATAATGTGGCAAAAAGACCAGTGCTCTATTGTAAAGCCAGCATGAAAAGCACAGAGAGTGTAGTGACCTGTATCAGCTGCACGCTGTCCAACAACATAGGACCCTGTAGTTGCTTGTGCTTGGCACAACACTGTGGAGGTGGGAAACTCTCCTCCACACCAACTGTGCTCATTCTCCAGGAACTGAGCTGAGGATGGTGGCGATCACACCAACACTTCACTCTGATCATGTGGTTATTGTGCTGCGAGCTCTGAAGTTGCCAGCCGTTCATCGCAAGCAGCAGGTGGACTGGGATGACAGGGAATTACATAACCATCCTCTCCCAGCAATGAAAAATATTTAGCTCAGTTTCATGTGTGCTTTAAATTTGCTGTGATTACTCAAAAAATGTAGGCAAATTCAAAGGATGTGGAGTTTTTTTATTTTGATTTGATTCCAATCGCACTTACAGTGGAAGCCAAATGGATGACGGGTGTCATTTTAACCCTCAAAATGATTTGAGGGTTAAAATGACACCTCTCAGCTTCTTTATCACTGGTTTACAAATGTGAAAAACCTCTCATGTTGTCAGATCACCTCAAACAACCTCCTCCTGTTTCCCACTTAAACACCTTTGCTTGATCATACTGTTCACATGCAGCAGCGGCAGCAGCAGGAAGAAACAGCAGAAAATGAGTGAAAGAGTTTTACTGCCACCTTAAGGATGAACCTGACCAGTATCAAAATGAGACAATGGTGTTCATGTTTACACCAGTATTATTTGGGGTATTTTACTGATTTTGCACCTGATAATTTTACGTACACCAATAAAAGGCGGTTGTGCAGATGCCAGATTTTGCTCTGAAACAACCTAAGACATGAGGATAAATAAAGATTGTATAATTTAAACTTGCATGACAGAGATTTGAATAGTAATTTGTAAATCTGTGTGTGTTTGCCAGTGGTTTTTAGTCAACAGGACACCCTTTGTACCCATCTAGCGGTGTTTGTGAAATTGTTGGACGTGCATTCTAGGATAGGTTTGGTTTGCCATACCATCCCTTAGTTATACATGAGTCTAGGCTGGGGTCTTCCCATGATGCTTTGAGCTCCACTCCTCTCTTCCGTAGTGTGTCTGAAAGTGTGTAAAAGAATTTGTGAGTTAAAATGTTTCTGATGACACTTTTTTGGACATCAAATAGGTGAGTTATTGTAAAAAGGTGGATAGAGGTTTCATCTTTTTCTCTCTGTAGGAAATCTTTACATTCAACTGTGTTTGACTAATGTCTGTATTATTTTCTTCTGTCGCGTACCGACCAAAATTAATTCCAGATTTCATGTCCTTTGCTGATTGTTACAGAGAGGTGCATTGAATCAAAGGCTATTAATTAAATGAAATTTTCTTGATGAACATCTGAGGGCTGAAATTTTAGTAGTAGCATGAGTGTAAATATTGACAGTGTGCTGGAGTTCTCCAAAATGTCAGACTGAGTATTTAGAACACGAAAGTACAGGAGCACTGAAGAACTGTATCATGTTGCTTCTGTCACTTTTAGATTTAGAAATCTGCAGAACTGCAGCAGATTAAGTCCTGCCTGGTTTCAACCTGAACACTTGTGACCTCAGAGCTGCAGGACATGAATCTGTCAGGGCACACAGACCATTACCTTTGACAATAACACAGTCGGTGCCGTGTTTCTACTGTGGTTCACTAGTAGTACCATAAAAGATGGCAGTGCAGGACAGAATATAATATCCTCTGCAGGTACCTCATGAATATGGGTACAATGAGCCTGACGATATTTTGCAGCATGTGGGCCTGTATATCTGTTCCCAAGGAGCTGTAAAGCACAAAATGTGCCAGTTCCTTTGACTTATACTACAGTTTCACAATGTGTACAGCAACTGAACACAGAGGTTCACACCTACAATGTATTGTACTGTAAATTAAAAACTGGGGGTTTGTTGCATCACACAGATATACCCTGTGTGTATAATAACTCACCGTAGCCATATCAGCGCTAAAATGTAAAATGACCTTTGACCATATTAATGGGATAGTGGCAAGTCATTTTAAAGGAATCAGTCAGAGCCAACTAGACTCAGGTTGCTGTCCACTGGACGCACACGCCACAGGTAGTCGGTGATAAACAAGCCACACACTGCTCCAATTCTGACATCCCTCAGTTAATGGTACGGATGCTGAGGAGTCCAACCTGCACTGACAGAAAGCATCACTCCTGCTTATGAGTCTTCTTCTCCACCCACTGTTCCCATGTACAGCACATACACCAAGGCACCTGACTGCTCATGACAACAGCTGTAGTTTGTGTTTGTTCAGACCAGTATCCAGATGTAAATGTGTGAAGGTGCACGTTTGAGTAAAAATCAACATTCAGAATTCATAAAATTCAGACTGAGATTTGAAAATACTCACAGAAATGTAACCTAAGGTTTCAGAAGAGGAAATTTCAGTAGCAGTGTTAAACACAGTAACCTAATCTTTAAAGTTTCGAACTTTATCTGGAAAATGTTAAACCGGGTGGCCAGGCTGGGGCACAGACTCAGAGAGGGGTGGCTCATTTGAAATACACATAAAAAGTCAATTAAACCTTAAGTTTTATGAAATATTAAACAGTACATTGTTAAGAATGAAATTGTGTAGTTTGTGTAAAAATGAGACACACATATTGCTTTCTTTAGCTAACTTTGGCCACACTCCTTATTTACTCTTGGTCAGGGACAATGCTGCTGCACAGTGGTCGCCCCCACTGAGGCTCCACAACAACACAACCATGTTGCTTGTGTGATATAAAGTAAAACTAATCTGACAAATATAAGTTATAAAGCACCAGAAAAATGTTACTTGTATTTAAGGCAACAATGTGTCATTGTTTTTCATGTTTCATTCATTAATACTGATGAGCATCACATTTTGACTCTGGCAGATGTGGCACCAGGGGTGGCCGGTCAGATTCTGGGGGCAGCCGGCGACAGCCCTTGCCACCCCCTGGATTCACCCATGCTAACTTTGCAGATTCAACAAGTCGCCACACTTGTTTTCAGAGTACACACTTATGTTACATTTATGGTAAATGCTGATTAACAGGATGTATGAGGTTTGCTAAATGCTGTAATCTGCAACATCACCACTAGATGTCACTAAATCCCATATACTGCCCTTTTAAATCTTAGAGTTCTTTTGATTTATATATTATAATAATTTGTTCACATGTCATAGATGATGTTAACTAGTAAGTGATTTATTACCTACTCATTTTCATTTTAAAAAAACATGTCTTACAGCCATCACAACTCTCTCTAAACTGCTGCCCACACTTTAATTTCATTCTGTCCTGGTTTTCAGACAAGATTTGTCTGAATTCTGCAAAAGTGCAAGTAAATAAAAATGTCTCAGAAATATGACGCAGCAACTGTTCTGACAATCTGGTGCTAGAAGGAACAACACACAGTTTGGCCCAGTTTCCCCTGTGCAAGCTGAAACAAAGCTGCACTTCCCAGATTTTTCTGAAGGAGAGATGAAACATTTATGTCACTCCCAAAACCCAGATTTCAATCAGACAACGTCCAATAATTGACGAGTAAACTCAAATGTTTGTTTATGTCTGTAGATGGAGCAGTTTGTGCAACACGGATCAGCAGTAAAGTGGGGGTGAGAGGAGGTGAACAGAGGCTTTCGGTCTCCTCATGTGTACTGTGCTCATGGTTTACCTCTGAATTTCATCCAACATTGAGTACTCAGACCACTTGTGACCACTCAGCTCAGCTGTAGACTTACCTCTTATGTACAGTGCATCTTGTTGGTGACCACAGGACAGAAACCACCCAGCAGATATTTGTGTGTGTGTGTGTGTGTGTGTGTGTATCCACCATCGCTTCTCTTTCCATTCAAAGCTATTCTCCCTGTGCTGGTGCAAGGCTATCTGACTCAGTTGTGTCTTCCTGTACACCTGTTTCTCTGTGACCTAGTCTAACCTTGGATCACTGTCTTTGCCTCTGCTGCTGCTTCTGGCTTCCCATCAGCTATTCTTAGCTGTGCTTGTACTCCGGCTTCACAGCGGACCTGTCAGTGTAAAATGCCACACCTCACCGGATGGCGTAAATAAAAACCGGCCTGCTGGTTGGGAGCATCTCTGGAGGAAATGACAAATCATTTTAGATCATAAACAACAGAGCAGCAGCATTAGTAGAAAAACATCTCACAGGAACAATCTGGTGGTTTTCTCTCAGACTATATGGAGCAGAATATTCACAGGCCCTCGAATCAGTACATCTCTCAGTGGTTAGTTTTACTTTCACTGCAGCACTGCACTTACAGTCATAGTTAAACTGATGAATTTTCCCTTTCTTTGTTTACGGCCTAAGAGCTGGTGACTGCACTCACATCCCAGTGCCACAACGCAACACACTCACAAAGAGGCTCCAGCTGAGTAACTGTTCGCTGCTCTGCTCAAGGGCAGGTGGGAAGTCTGCTGTCACTTCCTGCCCTCAGGTTGTCTCCTTCTGAATTAAATAATTACAGTGTATAAATATGATCATTTTCTCTTGAACACAACAGACTTTATATTACATTTTAGTGTATAATTATTTAAAGCATGACTATATGATAACGTATAATAAACTCATTTTACTAAAGAACCAGCTGCAGCTTAGCACGTGGACCATGTTATGTGGCATGTTTCTTCTGTGACAACAGTAAGCCTAGCATGGCACAGCTATAGTTCTGAATAACAGGCTGCTGTAGGCAGGCCAGCAGAAACTGTAGTGGTATTAAAGATGCAGTACTGTGTTCTTACTGTCAGTATTTCAACAAGTACAGAATGCACGGCTGTTGGACAAAGGAACAGTGAATAACTGTGTGAACTAAGGCTGTGTGTACAGCTCAGCATGGAAAAAGAGAAACTCCATGAATCCACAACATTAAAACCACTAGCACATGAAGTAAATAACTGATTGTCATTACAATGGCACCTGTCAAGAGGTGGGATATATTAGGCAAGCTGATGTGATGGAAGCATGAAACATGGAGAAGCATCTGAATGACTCTGACAAACAGTGATGGTCAGTTGACTGGGACAGAGCATGTCCATACCAGCAGGTCTTGTGGGATGCTCCCTGCAGTGGTCAGTACCTAAAGCGGGCCAAGGTCCAACAGTGTTGTGCGCTGTGTCCAAATGTGACAACACAGGCAGTCATGATAGGGGGTTGGGATCCAAGGCCCCACCATGATGGATGAGACCGTTCTGACTGTCCACTGCATGGCCAAAAGTATGTGGACACCTGAAGGTTACACCCATGGGATTGTGGAATATTTCATCAGCGCTAATCTGCTGCTATAACAGCCTCTGTTTAGCCTCTAAACACAGTTGTACTGTAGCTACAATGACAATAGCTAGTGAGGTTCTATCCTTCTGTTTTGGTTTACTTATTTGTCAGCAATGGTGTTTGGGCTGTGATTTGTAAATGAATAATAAGGTGTTGCTGTATATTATTGCTGTATGGAAGAAGGGCTGTGTGTGGCCCTTTTGTACATAGTGCCTTCAATAGGAAGAAAAGATTGTATTCTGAAGTTGGTGCTTGATGTAGACACCTGTGTGATCTGTTTGGACAAAGTGTGCATCAAAGTGAGAATTACAGGCAGTGAAGAAAATTGAATGGCACACTAGTCAAATTGAATATCTGCCGCAATTGGATTATCTCTGCCTTACACCATGTACTTGTTATTTATAAACCTTGTGACAATATTATAATTATTACTATTACTTTGTCATTCTAATTTTTCACTTGAGGGACCAAATTCTCCTCTGGTGGGTCAGAAAATAATAGCCCCTGATGTCTATATTGCACTTCTATTAATGTTTCAAATACAGGATTTAATGGTGAAGTTGGTGTTTTGCTAGTTTCTGAGGAGATGCCAGTTTAGGCTCATCACCCAGTTTGGGATTTGACATGGTTTTAATGGAATATCAAAGTAGACTTTTCTTCTGGCTGCTGCTCTGAATATTGGCCAGTCTGGGACATGGCTGCAAAATGTTGGTTCAGATGAGGAGAGTGGCTCCTTCTTAATGTGCATCTTTGAAGGCACATAATGGTGTGAACCTAGGAAGGATGCTCCAGTGATTTGGAGGACCATGATTTCCAGTCTTGTTAAAGTGCTGTTGAAAACATAGCTATCATGTCACCTGTCATTTATTTCTGGAAATTTGGTGGATTTAGCAAAGTGGGGGGATTCCTGCAATCTATATAAAGGAATAGATCAACTTAGCTATTAGTTTCTGCTTATAAGCTTTTTATAAAGAGGCTATTATGAGAAAGTCGCACCACTATAGCTCTGCACAGTCTTCCTCCTCCTGCCTCTCATCTGATTAGTGTGCATGTGCTGGGGAACCCTGAAGTTGGCTCGGTAATAAGCTCAGTATGGCAGTCCGTGGGAGGGGTGTGCCAAACCTTTCCCTCTAATTGACCAGGGAACAGAAGCAGCCAGGGACACGAGCAGCCGCACACGGGGAGAGAGGTACTCTTCAAACCACATTTTGTTATTTAATAAGGGATCACTAAAACGCATTAGGCTATTGCCTTCATTAGCGTGTCGCATGGTTGCATGGTGTTTTTTTGAAAAGCGATTTGAGAGCTTGCAGAAGCCAGAAAAAGCAAAAGACAAAGAGTTAGTGGGTAGAGGAAATGTGCATTGTCTTTAATTTGGCATTACGGCTTTGGACGCTGCCAGGGGAATTCATTTAGCTGCACTTTAAATGCTTGCAGTGCACGAGAGGGAGAGATGCGTATTGATTATGCTTGTGCTCATACAGTAGGTTAAACAAGTGGCGACAAAGCATGCCAAGACCTGAAGTTGCTGTCTCATATGCAGCTGCGCGTTAAAATATCGGATTGTTTTTTATGTTGCATGTTTTACTAACAGAGGCGGACGCATGGGCTTGTCAAATCGGAAAACCCAGCTCATTTTCAAATGGCTGACCTGGAACTCTTTTACTATGACCAACCCGACCCGAGAGACACCTCCCTGGTTTTAAATAAGCAAAGTGTCCCCGAGATCAGCAGCGGCGGAGGAAAGTCACTTCTTCCCGACGGAGGAGAGGCTTCAGCTCCATGGACAGAGACGCGGAGAGCGGCGCGACTGGAGGGGGAAACGGAAACATCTTTCACCTGCAAACACCAAGATGATGAAGATGGGGACGATGTCCAGCTAATAGGGACAAGTCCACAAACCTGTAGACTGGCTCAGAGCTCCTCGAGTGAATTGTACGAGGAGGAGGTGATGGAGGAAGAGGAGGAGGACACCTCGGAACTTTACTTTCTGTCCGACGACGAGCTCTCCTCGGACAGCTCGGGGAAGTCAGTGGACTACGGCTTCATCATTGCCGTGACTTGCCTGGTGACTGGCATCTCTCTGGTCGCCATATCCTACACAGTCCCCAGGGACGTGCGAGTGGACCCGGACAGTGTGACCGCTCGGGAGATGGAGCGCCTGGAGAGGGATAAAGCCCGAGTGGGGGCCCACCTGGACCGGTGTGTCATAGCGGGATTGTGCCTGCTCACCCTCGGGGGCGTGCTGCTTTCCACCCTGCTCATGATCTCCATGTGGAAAGGGGAGATGATGAGGAGGAAAGCCTTTGCCTATTCCAAACACGCAGCTAAATTATATGGCTCGATAAGTCTGAGAGCAGGCTCCAGCCCGACTCGGGAATCCTGCTCACATTTTTCAGCGCCTGATGAGGATTTAGAAGTGCTCAGCTGAATTTATGGACAGGACACGCGTAAAAGCGCTTAGAAAACCCAACCAGTGGTGTCCTTTAGTCGGGGATGTAGTGGGGGTTTAATGCCTTTTTATTTCTAACAGCAGAGGCAACTTTGTGTTTGCTATGGACATTTTTAAAGGGTATGTTTGCATTTTTTCCAAGTCTGTCTTAATACAACATGACCCTGAAAGAGTTTTTGGCTACTGTAGCTTTTCCCTCTGTCCACGATGGCCCTTAAAAATCCCTTCATAATCTAATTCTAGTGTAAACCTTTGAAATTGTAAGTTCTGTGAAGCTAATATGAGGCGGTTTAAAGGAGTTCAGACCAAAAACAGACGTGAGATAACAGTGAGACATTAAATGCAATCCAGGAAGCCCAGTTTGAATTGCGGATGTAAGAGGTTGAAGGCTTATTAGATACCAATCCACTCCACTCCAGTCCACAGAGGTTCACAGTACTCAGAGACGAGGTTTTACAGCTGTCATGGCATTAAATATTTTATTGTTGTTGTGCTGATCACAAGCTAGAAATACGGCTTTCACATGACAAAGTAATCTACCAGGAATCTGTGCTTCTAGTTGACACTGTGCTGGTGAACAAGCTTAGAGCTTTTTGCCAGGCAGCCTTGTGTTGGCACTGTCACTGCACATCCATACAGGCCTCATTAAACGATTGAGGAGGCTGCGATTTTTCATATAAAGATAGAGCTGGTCTGAATGTGGCCTCAGTCAAATCTAATGACTATGGTTTTATACTAAAAAGATTTTGGATGACAACTGCTTGATGTTTCTAACTCACTTCTGAGTTTTTCTAAGTTTTGCTGAATTTCAAGATGATTTTTTTTAGACACAGATCAAGGCGTGTTGATTTTGTCTGCTGTCACTTCCAGTAGAATCGCGTTAGAAATGTCTCTCTTCACTATGGACAAAAGGAAAAGTTACACTCACCAAAATCTTTTTCAATGCACATTTGTGCATGTTAGTATTACATTAAGACAGACTTGGAAAATATGAACGCATCCTAATGATAAACTGTAAAATTATGAGAAAACAGTGTTTTCCTTCACTAAAGGTAAAACATAAAATAGCTTTGTATATTTTATTTAACTTGGTTTGCCTTATCTTTTTGTTTACCACTGCTTCTAATGAGGCTGCTACTTCAGTGTTTACAGTGTTCACTCACTAGTGCTGACTTGTGTGTTGAAGCCTTGTATGTACATGTACATGTATACTGTGAATGCGAGGAAAGTCAAACCTGAACCAGGAGTGGTGTCATTGTCACTGCCTTCATTTTCCACCTTTTCAGAGACAGAACTTTGCTAAATTGTAACTAACGAACTGTGCAGATCTGGTTCTTAAAAACAACAACTGCATGAATGTGTGTGAACTCCAAAGAAATTCTGTTTGACATAACATGTTGAAGTGATGCTTGTATTTGCTCAGATTTGCTGAAACGCAAATAGTGATACCACAGGAGGTGTAATTACATTTTGTGGTTGAGCTCCGATGTCGGGGAAGCTCAGTTTACACCAAATACACTTGGGGTTCTTGACAGCAGATGTTCAAAAACATACAGAGAGAGAGACAGAATCAGCGCACCCCTGGGGGAAAGATATCCTGGCATTTAACGTTACTTAACGGCTCGTGGGAGGGCTGTGAATCAGTGGAAAACAAGAACCCAAGCATTTTAACAACTGCTGCAATCAAGCCCACTTATCAAATACCAGACCATTCCAGCTGCAGTACTGGAGTGAAATGTCAAATTGCATTCAAGGCGAAGGAAGTAATGTCTCGCCTGCTCTGACTGAAGACACTGTGAATTAACAACCCTCTGCTTATGTTGAACAGAAAGCTATGCTGTGCAGCCTCCAGGAGGGTCACATTATCCTATACACGACCCTTGCTCACTCTCACCTTGGTGATTAATAGGCTGAATCCGCTGACCTCTAAATGAAATATTAAGTTGTTTCTAATGCTAATCTCATGTTATAGAGTAACAGTTTGAAGGGTTTTTGTAGGTGTCTGGTGTTTCCCTTTACGTTCCTGGAAATAAAACTCCTGTGTCAGATGAGTTATTTCGTGATGAAGTGTTGAGAATCCCCCTCTTCTCCGCAGCCTGACTCATCTGCTTCAGCTTGTGATTCCTTACATTTCCCAGATTGTCTTTTTTCACAGCCATCATAGAACAGCTGTGAGCTTGTTGCTTTAAGCATGTGGGATCAGACAGAGTGTTATCGCCGAGTAAAAGCAAGAGAGTGAACCTTTACAGTTGCAGCAGCATGAAGGTTTCTAACTCAAAACACGCCCTGCGATGCACTCTGGCCTTTTGAGACTGCTGTGTGGTGCGGGGACATTAGTCTCATCCAGCTCTTGTTCAGTGCAAGAATTTTCTCTCAGTTGATGTTCATTTAAATTTTTAAGTTGCTCTTCATTTCTGGAGGGGATGACATCAGCAAATGACATTTATTGCTGGGGTGTTAGATACATGGAGTCTTTCCTGTAAACCATGCTGAAAATATTTAATTTTGGCATCATCGATGTTTATAGGAATTGGAGCCAACACAGTGGCCCTGCAAATAAAATGATTTTAGCAGTATTAAAACACTTCATGGTCATATTTCTACATTAGAGCACATTGATGCTTCATAAAACAATTTCACCACAAGGTCCATCTTTACCTGAAATCAAATTGGCCCGTTTAATCTTTGGGATTCAATAAGCAAAAATCACAGGGGTCAAAGTTTGAAAAAAATATTTAACAAATAATTGTAGCTTAAAACCAGAGACTTGAGAAGCTAGTTTCAGGCTAGAATGACCTAACTGAGTTGCACCTTTAAAACCCATGGGAACTTCTTTTCAGCACTGTAGCCAGGCTGACAAAGAGCCACAGTGCTGTTGAGCTTAACATTCCCTTAGATCTCAGCAGCAATGACTTCATGAGCTTCTTTACAAACAAAATCACAACTATTAGAGAAAAAATTGGTCGGACCACTCCCACAGCTCTCGCAGATGTGCCATCTACTACAATGGCTTTAGAGACATCTGTAAGACCTCATTTATACTTGGACTACTTTTCCCCTATAGATCTCTCTGAGTTGACCTCAACAATTGCTTCATCTAAATCATCAGCATGTCTCCTGGACCCCATCCCGACCAGGCTGCTCAAAGACGTCTTTCCCCTAATCAACACATCCATACTAGATCTGATTAACCTTTCTCTATTAACAGGTTATGTTCCACAGGCTTTTAAACTTGCAGTAATTAAACCTCCACTCAAAAAGCCTACTCTTGACCCAGGTGTCCTAGCTAATTATAGACCAATATCCAATCTCCCATTTATTTCCAAAATCCTTGAAAAAGCTGTTGCAAAGCAGTTATGTGACCACTTGCACAAGAATGATTTGTTTGAGGATTTTCAGTCAAGATTTAGAGTTCATCATAGTACAGAAACCGCATTGGTGAAAGTCACCAATGATCTTCTCCTAGCCTCGGACAAAGGACTTGTCTCCATACTTGTCCTCTTAGATCTCAGTGCTGCTTTTGACACCATTGATCACAGCATCTTACTGCAGAGACTTAAACATGTTATTGGGATTAAAGGAACTGCGCTAAGTTGGTTCAAATCTTATTTATCAGAAAGATTTCAATTTGTTCATGTTAATGACGAATCTTCCACACAAACTGAAGTTAGTCACGGCGTTCCACAGGGCTCTGTGTTAGGTCCAATTCTCTTCACTTTATACATGCTCCCTTTAGGCAATATTATCAGGAAGCACAACATAAATTTCCATTGCTATGCAGATGATACTCAGTTATATTTATCTATGAAGCCAAATGAATCAGGTCACCTGGTCAAACTTCAAGCATGTCTTAAAGACATAAAGGCCTGGGTGACCTGCAACTTCTTACTTCTAAACTCTGACAAAACTGAAGTTATTGTGCTTGGGCCTGAAAACCTTAGAAATCTGCTGTGTAATCATATAGTTACTTTAGATGACATAGCTCTTGCCTCCAGTACTACTGTGAGGAACCTTGGAGTCATCTTTGATCAGAATATGTTCTTTAAATCACACATAAACCAAGTCTCTAGATCTGCCTTCTTTCATCTGCGCAATATTGCAAAAATCAGGAGCATCCTGTCTCAAAGTGATGCTGAAAAACTGGTCCATGCATTTGTTACTTCCAGGCTGGACTACTGTAACTCTTTACTATCAGGATGTCCCAGTAATTCCCTAAAAAGCCTCCAGTTAATCCAAAATGCTGCAGCCAGAGTACTGACAGGAACTAGCAAGAGAGATCATATCTCTCCCATATTAGCTTCTCTCCACTGGCTCCCTGTAAAATTCAGAATAGAATTTAAAATCCTTCTCCTAACATACAAAGCCCTTAATGACAAGGCTCCATCATATCTTAAAGACCTCGTAGAGCCTTATCATCCTAACAGAGCACTTCGCTCTCAGAATGCAGGTTTACTTGTGGTTCCTAGAGTCCACAGAAGTAGAATGGGAGGCAGAGCCTTTAGCTATCAAGCTCCTCTCCTATGGAACCAACTCCCAGTCTCAGTTCGGGAGGCGGACACCCTCTCTACCTTTAAGATTAGACTTAAGACTTTCCTTTTTGATAAAGCTTATAGTTAGGGCTGGATCAGGTGACCCTGAGCCTTCCCTTAGTTATGCTGCTATAGGCCTCGGCTGCTGGGGGGCCCCATGATGCTCTGAGTTTCTCTCCCCTCCCCTCCTGCTCTCCTCTCCTCTCTCTCCCTATGCTTCTATATGCCACCATTACACATCACTAACTTTGTGTCTCCTCTCTCCCGTAGTGTGTCCTCTCTCTCTTTCTGTACCTTTCTGCAGGTTGCCCTGGCCCTGGAGCTCTACATCTCTGACGAGCAGTCACCAGCCACATCGACCTGATCAGTGTTTGATTGTTGTGTCTTGTTGCTTTTTTTCTTTTGTCTCTCCTCTATCCACTCACCCCAACCGGTCGAGGCAGAAGGCCGCCCACCAAGAGCCGGGGTCTGTCGGAGGTTTCTTCCGTTAAAGGGAGTTTTTCCTCCCCACTGTCGCCAAGTGCTTGCTCAAGGGGGATTTGTTGGGTTTTCCCTATGTAATAATAATGATAACAGTAAGCTCTAGACCTTACTTTGTAAAGTGTCCTGAGATGACTTTTGTTGGGATTTGGCGCTATACAAATAAAATTTGATTTGATTTGAATTTGATTCTGTAGCACCAGTCAATCAAAACCAATCAGCAGTGTGAGCAGGACGTCACTGTAGCATCAAAAAGTAGTCCTAAAATGCTATTCCAAAAAACTGTTTTGGGCAGAAGGTGGGACAGGCCTGCTGACGGAGGGGGTGTGGACAGTGGTGGGGTAACTAAGTACATTTTCTCAAGTACTGTACTTTAATACAATTTTGAGGTATCTGTACTTTACTTGAGTATTTTGATTTTGTACTACTTCATACTTCCACTTCACTACATTTTAAAGGCAACTAGTGTACTTTTCACTCCTCTACATTTATAACTTTAGTTACTAGTTACAAAAATTACAGTATAATCATAAGACTTTATTGATCTCTGGTGGAAAATTCACCCAGCAGTACTTCAAATTATATGCATATAAGGTATTTAAATGTGCCATTCTGCATGAGTACTTTTAATTTTAGTACTTTAAGTATGTTGTGATGCTAATACTTTTGTACTTTTATTTTAGTAACATTTTGAGTGCAGGACTTTAACTTGTAACAGGATATTTTTACACTATTGTATTGTTACTTTTACTTTAGTAGGGGATCTGAGTAATACTTCCAGCTTTGTTTGTGGGCCCTCTTGCCCAGTGACTAAAAAATAGCCTAATCAATAACAGTTTATAAACTAAGCATTTATCTTGCCAAATGTATGTCTACTCAATAGCTAAAAAATGGAACCCAGATAACAGTTTATCATTTGAAGTCAGTTCTTTTTTCACTACCATTTAGTTTACCAAATAACTTTAATTAGACTAGTAATCAATAAATCCTTGACTTCACTATCACAAACAACTGAGAGAATCAGCACATTCACATTTCTAAAGCTTGAGCAAGTGAACTTTAGTCTTTATAAATGGCAATTATTAAGCAGTTATTTGATTATCAGTGTCTAAGTAGTTGCCAAGTTCTAGAGTACTTCCTGGTTTTTAGGTGTTAAGGGCCATAAAAAAGCTGGCATGTATTGTCAGGTTCAAGTAGGAGCCAACCATGTTGTTGCACAAAGGGTGCCATAGCAACACATTTTAATTTAGTGGTGTGAATAAACATACTACTTTCAAACAGCTGGTGCAATCTGTAGGACTGTGTAGGTGCAATTTTATCAGCAGCATCTCTTTGGCAAAATAAACAAGCAATCCAACAATTGGCATCAGATTCTGTTTCCTATATCGTTTTTTATTATTTTAATATTCTGAGCGGCAAAGCTGGCATAACCTTTATCCAATTTCAAACCAATGGGAAAAGCTTAGATAAAACACAACTACAGACATGTCTCATGTGAATAACCAGTACAGTTCGAAGATAATAATGTGCATGACCCCACTACTTGTACTGAGAAGGGGTAAAGCGCCTTGTTTCTTCTACGTAGTGATATAAAGGGGCTGGGACACTGCAGCAACTTTAATTGGTGTTTGTGTTTGTTGTGCCAGGGGACTGTCGTAGACACAAAATCAGCCTGTAATAAAAATGACACACACACACTCTCGTGCAAACTGTCAAAACGCCAAACAGAGTCCCACGCACATGAGCTCAGTGTGAATGGCTCAGGCTTGAGTATAAAATGCGTCTCTTGCAGAAACACCCCCCACAGAGGGACAAACACACACTATAACACACTCTCTCAGCTGGCATACACACACACACACATATCTCCCTCTACCATGAATGGAGTTAGTCAGAGTAATCATTCAGGGCAGCTGGCAGCAGGAAATGGAATTGGATTGCAGAAGGGGTCACTCAGGGTCAAGAGCTTGGGTGTGGCTGTGGACGCTGGGGACCGGGAGTGCTTTACATCACTGTCTAGCAGCTACTTACCATCAGCTGTCATACCAACCCATCATACTGAGGGACAGAGCTCTGATTGCACTGCACAGAAAGTCTCTCTGGCCATCACACCATCATACATACTTTGTTCTGTTAGCTTAATAAATTAAGAGTAAGATCATGTCTCCAAGTCTGAAATGCTTCTCTTGAACTATTGCCTTGAGTTAATGACTTATTCAATAATGATTCTCGTTACTTCGATTGTTGCATAGCAACGGCAGGCAGATTCAGTCACAGCTCTAAAAAGGGACTGAGCTTCGGCTAAGAAAAAAGAAAAAAGAGTAGAGGAGCAAGTTGCAAATAGAATCACCTTTCACACCATTTATCAGCTTGATTCATTCAGCTCAGAGGTTTTAAAACCCAAACCCTACACAAACTGACAGCCCCCTTTCAAGCTGTCTTTCAGGGGGTTTTCAGAGCTGAAAGCCGTTGAGGATATACCTGTAGGCTGCATCTTAACTTGGCACTTCAGAGGGAGAGAAGAGTCAATTATATGGAGGTATTCACCAATCAGTTTCAGTTTAGAGGCTGAATCATCTTTGTTGAATTTGCTGTGAAGTTAGCACACTCCTGAGAGGAGATGTGTGCAGCTGTACCGTGGGTGCAGGAATTCACTGATCCTGCTCCAGAACTCACATTTATTAACTGCCAGTATCTTCCATTCCTTTGTTTGTGGTGATTAAGCGAAGCACCTGCTGTAGGTTGAGCAGCACCCACATACTCTCATCCCTTATTCTCCTTTAGCGATCTCTGTCCTGAAGGAAATGCAGAAGGGACACCATAACCATAGAAACAGGGTCACCCTGTTGCTACGGAGAACTGCCTGTGTGCCACGGTGGCTCGGT